AGATGCCACCGATTTTGTTCTCTTAAGTTGCAGGAGATTCGCAAATCTGGCTGTAATGAGATGTAGTTGAGAGCCTGAATCTAAAAGCGCACGACAAGGAACAAGCTCGCCAAACCGATTCCTTGCCAGAACCACTGCGGTAGCCAGGAGCACAACATCGCTGTGCCGATCCTTGGATAAGAGAGTAGTGGCTGGTGCTGAGGGCTGAGGGATGGTCTGTACTCTTGATGTTGAAGATTGTTGATGGGGCGGAATTGCTGCCTGCGATGTGCTGGAGTGGCCGAGATGAAGAAGCGTATGATGCTTGACTCCACAGACCCGACAACTGCGCGAGCCACATTGTCGCGACTGATGACCTCCCTTGAGACAATTCAAACATAAGCCAGCCTTTCGGACCTCATTCAGGCGAAGACTAGGAGACAAGTTTGCGAATCTTGGGCATTTGTAGATTGTGTGCTCAAGATCATTACAAAAATTGCAACTGTGAGTACTGTGGCCGGTTACGAGAAATGCTGATCTACTGGTAGCAACCTTACTGCAAGAATTCATCGGCTTACTTGACGAATAGTTTGTAAGAGCAAATTTCATCGATTCCAAAGTACGGCAACGAAGCTCAAGAAATGAGGAGACTTCTTCATATCTGGGTATCTGAAGAGCCGTCTCTGAGTTGTCCAATTTCTCTTCCCATTTAGCTTGTGAGGCCTCATCAAGCTTCTGTAGCAGTATCTGAGCAATCATGGCACTGGCTATCTGCTCTGTTGTGCCCAGACTACTGAGCGCACGCATATGGACATTGAAGCTGTCAGATAGCTCACGCAGCTTGATTATGGATCCGTTTTCTACTCTTTTTGAGACCTAAGATCTTTACGATGTGGGCCTGGAAGATTAAACGTCGGTTATCATATCTCTGCTTTAATAAATTTATGGCAATTGTATAATTATCATTAGAAATTTCCAAAGAGCGAACCGTATCCAACGCTGCGCCATCGAGGCAGGACCGGAGGTGCTGAAGTCTTTCCATATTGCTGATTTCTGGCCGACTTTCAATGATTGTAGAAAACATTGAGTAGAAATCAGCCCAATTAGCATATCCACCGCTGAACGTAGGTAGCTTTAATGGCGGCAACGCAGGTGCAGCCTGCAATCTGGGAGCGGATGCGCGAGGAGGGTCACTTGGACGGCTAAACGTGGAACTATGATGCACTTGAGCAGTACGACTTTGCACTTCGGACATTATTGTTGACTGCATGACCATTATTAAATCATCAAAGTCAGTGCGCAAATTGCTGGACATCTCAGTAAAGTCGAGCTCCTCTAGACTTTCATGGGCCTTGCTAAAGGAGTGGCTTAGCTTGTCGATATGCTCCAGTAGAACATTTAGAGTGCTGTCACTGTGATCGGCAAGAGCATCTGAATCGACCTTGGATTGTAGCTTTTTTACGCGTTCAAACACCGACTGTACCTTGAGCTTATAAAACCGCACGCGATCTTCGGGAGCAACTGCACTAGCATCTAAATTCGCCATGACGAGTACAGCAAGAGCAACACGATAGAGTTCAAAGTCGTTGGTGCGAGCGCGATTGCAAGAGTAAGTAAATGTATATATGCTATAGCGCAGACTTGGAATAAGTCGTATTTGTCGAGCAGAGTACTTGCAACTTTAATAAACTGGCAAAGAATTATATTATGGTACTCAAATAATATACACGTATGAATTGTTGCACACCGGTACGATTATTATGGACGCGCTCGTATCGCAGCCGTGGTGAAAGAGTGCAATGTCAACGAAGAATAACGGCAAGCATGTAATTACACTGTGCTTATGCAAACTTAATCACTTATAGATTGAAGCTATAGAACACGCAGTCACTAACCATAGACATAGTTCAGAAATTAGCTGATTCTTTATTAGATTGTCATTTGCAGAAGTTTTCGCATGTGTACTACTTTTACGGGCGCCAGTGTATTGCAGACCGAACGAAAGAGTGTCTGGCGAATTGGCAAAGTAACGGCACGCAACTAATCGCTATATACACTGCTTATATTCACGGGTGTATGTATGTATGTGATGCTGTCAATATATATATGCAAATATGTAGAAAGAAACGAAAATATCACGTCGGGGTCACCAAATGTTGAGCTATCGAGATTTTTCGAATAGCTTTAAATTATTAAACGATTGAATTTACTTAGTGATTAGTTTATTAGCGATTATTAGAGTTTACAGAGTTTATGTGATAGACGCGAGCAAGCGACTAGTCTGTCGTGCTGTCCGCTACTATGTTTGTAATAGTCAATCTAACACTGCATCTGCTCTAAACAAGAGTTAATTGCATACTAATTACAATGTACGCGAGCCGGCGGATTAAGCTGAGCCGGTGCGTGGGTGAAAGAGACAACGCAAAAGGGAGAGCGTGATCTCCGTTACAAATTCTCTTACATGATAACATACTCTATGAACTGCCGCTCTTAATTACAATGAAGCGATGATTGCTGAGCCCAACAAATAGAGAAAAATGAATTCAGTAATTATTGCAACATGTGATGGAGAATAAGAAAAAGCAAATCGATTCAATATTTTGATGCTTTCATAACAGAAAATTTTAAAGAATTCGGCAATAAACTAGTAAGTATTGCAATAGAGAAAAATGAATTTAGTAATTATTGCAACATGTGATGGAGAATCAGAAAAAGCAAATCGATTCATTATTTTGATGCTTTGATAATAGAAAATTTTTTAAAAATTAAGCAATAATCTAGTAAGTATTGCAATAGAGAAATATGAATTCAGTAATTATTGCAACATGTGATATAGAATCAGAAAAAGCAAATCGATTCAATATTTTGATGCTTTCATAACAGAAAATTTTAAAGTATTCGGCAATAAACTAGTAAGTATTGCAATAGAGAAAAATGAATTCAGTAATTATTGCAGCATATGATGGATAATCAGAAAAAAGCAAATCGATTCATTATTTTGATGCTTTGATAATAGAAAATTTTTAAATATTTTGCAATAAAATAGTAACTATTGAAATAGAGAAAAATGAATTCAGTAATTATTGCAACATGTGATGGAGAATCAGAAAAAGCAATTCGATTCAATATTTTGATGCTTTCATAACAGAAAATTTTAAAGTATTCGGCAATAAACTAGTAAGTATTGCAATAGAGAAAAACGAATTCAGTAATTATTGCAACATGTAACGGAGAATCAGAAAAAGCAAATCGATTCAATATTTTGATGCTTTCGGCAATAAACTAGTAAGTATTGCAATAGAGAAAAATGAATTCAGTAATTATTGCAACATTTGATGGAGAATAAGAAAAAGCAAATCGATTCAATATTTTGATGCTTTCATAACAGAAAATTTTAAAGTATTCGGCAATAAACTAGTAAGTATTGCAATAGAGAAAAATGAATTCAGTAATTATTGCAAAATGTGATGGAGAATAAGAAAAAGCAAAACGATTCAATATTTTGATGCTTTCATAACAGAAAATTTTAAAGTATTCGGCAATAAACTAGTAAGTATTGCAATAGAGAAAAATGAATTTAGTAATTATTGCAACATGTGATGGAGAATCAGAAAATGCAAATCGATTCATTATTTTGATGCTTTGATAATAGAAAATTTTTTAAAAATTAAGCAATAATCTAGTAAGTATTGCAATAGAAAAATATGAAATCAGTAATTATTGCAACATGTGATATAGAATCAGGAAAAGCAAATCAATTCAATATTTTGATGCTTTCATACCAGAAAATTTTAAAGTATTCGGCAATAAACTAGTAAGTATTGCAATAGAGAAAAATGAATTCAGTAATTATTGCAACATGTGATATAGAATCAGAAAAAGCAAATCGATTCAATATTTTGATGCTTTCATAACAGAAAATTTTAAAGTATTCGGCAATAAACTAGTAAGTATTGCAATAGAGAAAAATGAATTCAGTAATTATTGCAACATGTGATGGAGAATAAGAAAAAGCAAATCGATTCAATATTTTGATGCTTTCATAACAGAAAATTTTAAAGTATTCGGCAATAAACTAGTAAGTATTGCAATAGAGAAAAATGAATTTAGTAATTATTGCAACATGTGATGGAGAATCAGAAAAAGCAAATCGATTCATTATTTTGATGCTTTGATAATAGAAAATTTTAAAAAAATTAAGCAATAATCTAGTAAGTATTACAATAGAGAAATATAAATTCAGTAATTATTGCAACATGTGATATAGAATCAGGAAAAGCAAATCGATTCAATATTTTGATGCTTTCATACCAGAAAATTTTAAAGTATTCGGCAATAAACTAGTAAGTATTGCAATAGAGAAAAACGAATTCAGTAATTATTGCAACATGTGACGGAGAATCAGAAAAAGCAAATCGATTCAATATTTTGATGCTTTCATAACAGAAAATTTTAAAGTATTCGGCAATAAACTAGTAAGTATTGCAATAGAGAAAAACGAATTCAGTAATTATTGCAACATGTGACGGAGAATCAGAAAAAGCAAATCGATTCATTATTTTGATGCTTTGATAATAGAAAATTTTAAAAAAAATTAAGCAATAATCTAGTAAGTATTGCAATAGAGAAAAATGAATTCAGTAATTATTGCAACATGTGATATAGAATCAGAAAAAGCAAATCGATTCAATATTTTGATGCTTTTGATAATAGAAAATTTTAAAAAAATTAAGCAATAATCTAGTAAGTATTGCAATAGAGGAAAATGAATTCAGTAATTATTGCAACATGTGATATAGAATCAGAAAAAGCAAATCGATTCAATATTTTGATGCTTTCATAACAGAAAATTTTAAAGTATTCGGCAATAAACTAGTAAGTATTGCAATAGAGAAAAATGAATTCAGTAATTATTGCAACATGTGATATAGAATCAGAAAAAGCAAATCGATTCAATATTTTGATGCTTTCATAACAGAAAATTTTAAAGTATTCGGCAATAAACTAGTAAGTATTGCAATAGAGAAAAATGAATTCAGTAATTATTGCAGCATATGATGGAGAATCAGAAAAAGCAAATCGATTCATTATTTTTATGCTTTGATAATAGAAAATTTTAAAATATTAGGCAATAATCTAGTATGTATTGCAATAGAGAAAAATGAATTCAGTAATTATTGCAACATGTGACGGAGAATCAGAAAAAGCAAATCGATTCAATATTTTGATGCTTTCATTACAGAACATTTTAAAGTATTCGGCAAGAAACTAGTAAGTTTGCAATAGAGAAAAACGAATTCAGTAATTATTGCAACATGTGACGGAGAATCAGAAAAAGCAAATCGATTCAATATTTTGATGCTTTCATAACAGAAAATTTTAAAGTATTCGGCAATAAACTAGTAAGTATTGCAATAGAGAAAAATGAATTCAGTAATTATTGCAACATGTGATGGAGAATCAGAAAAAGCAAATCGATTCATTATTTTGATGCTTTGATAATAGAAAATTTTAAAAAAATTAATCAATAATCTAGTAAGTATTGCAATAGAGAAAAATGAATTCAGTAATTATTGCAACATTTGATGGAGAATAAGAAAAAGCAAATCGATTCAATATTTTGATGCTTTCATAACAGAAAATTTTAAAGTATTCGGCAATAAACTAGTAAGTATTGCAATAGAGAAAAATGAATTCAGTAATTATTGCAAAATGTGATGGAGAATAAGAAAAAGCAAATCGATTCAATATTTTGATGCTTTCATAACAGAAAATTTTAAAGTATTCGGCAATAAACTAGTAAGTATTGCAATAGAGAAAAATGAATTCAGTAATTATTGCAACATGTGATGGAGAATCAGAAAAAGCAAATCGATTCATTATTTTGATGCTTTGATAATAGAAAATTTTTTAAAAATTAAGCAATAATCTAGTAAGTATTGCAATAGAGAAATATGAAATCAGTAATTATTGCAACATGTGATATAGAATCAGGAAAAAGCAAATCAATTCAATATTTTGATGCTTTCATACCAGAAAATTTTAAAGTATTCGGCAATAAACTAGTAAGTATTGCAATAGAGAAAAACGAATTCAGTAATTATTGCAACATGTGATGGAGAATAAGAAAAAGCAAATCGATTCAATATTTTGATGCTTTCATAACAGAAAATTTTAAAGTATTCGGCAATAAACTAGTAAGTATTGCAATAGAGAAAAATGAATTCAGTAATTATTGCAACATGTGATGGAGAATAAGAAAAAGCAAATCGATTCAATATTTTGATGCTTTCATAACAGAAAATTTTAAAGTATTCGGCAATAAACTAGTAAGTATTGCAATAGAGAAAAATGAATTTAGTAATTATTGCAACATGTGATGGAGAATCAGAAAAAGCAAATCGATTCATTATTTTGATGCTTTGATAATAGAAAATTTTTAAAAATTAAGCAATAATCTAGTAAGTATTGCAATAGAGAAAAATGAATTCAGTAATTATTGCAACATGTGATATAGAGATCAGGAAAAAGCAAATCGATTCAATA